CACGTCTCATGATCTGCATTGGGAAGTCCATGATTGGATAGCCACAGAAAGCCTTGGAAGGGTTAGAAGGGGGGGCTTGCAAAGGCAGCAGACAGGAGATCTGCGGCTTCTGCATGCTGTTTTTAGATGTAACCAGAATTTAAAAAAATCCATAATTAAATGCATGCATGTTTTCATGGGGGGTATATCATACTATTTTTTTTGTATCTAAACATTATTTTCCCTTTAAAGTAATCCTTTATTTTGATGCCAAAATATTTGATAAAGGGGTTGTTTGGCACCATAATAAAGATTCATTTTAAAATGACTCTGTAGGCACTATAACCATTTAATCTAATTTAATTGGTTATAGTGTTTGGAGTATTTTGGCGCTGTTTCGACATTCCGTGTTAAAGGGCAAAGCTTTGCTCTCTTATCTAAGTCCCCGCCAGTCTCCGTGGAAACATTATTCTGAGCAGCAATGGGCAACTGTCTTCAACCCATCACAGTGCCCATTGCTTGTATAAATTATGGCACCTTGGGTCAGACAGTGTTTGAATTTGACATTTAGTTGGTCTGATGATGTCACTGCCCTGTGCAGAGAGTGAAGCAGGGAAGAGACTGTAAAAAACAGGCCTGCACAACCTTCTCAAAGTTTAGTATAAATCAGACAAGCTGAAGCCATAAAATAATTTTCTGAATTGACTATTTTGGCTTAAAAATTCCCAACAAGTAACCCATTTGTAAATAATTTTGGATAGTTCTAGTTCTAGGAGTTGTCAGGACCACCTCAACATGTTGTTATACATCTTGTACAATGAATGCACAGAGTATACCGACTATAAGGTCATTGAGTGTACAGACTGTAATAATCTTACTGGCTGTTATGGATGGACATACAGTCAGCACTGACTGTACTGATATTGACTAAACTGTCTGCTATGACTGTACTGACACGGAGTATACTAACAATGGCTGTATATACTGCCTGCTGTGACTGTACTGACACTGGGTATATTGCCTGCTGTGACTGTACTGACAATGGTTGTAAATACTGCCTGCAGTGACTGTACTGACACGGAGTATACTGACCATGACTGTATATACCGCCTGCTGTCACTGTACTGACACTGAGTATTCTGACAATGACTGTGTATACTGCCTGCTGTGACTGTACTGACACTGACAATGGCTGTAAATACTGCCTGCGGTGACTGTACTGATACGAAGTATACTGACAATGGCTGTAAATACTGCCTGCAGTGACTGTACTGATACGAAGTATACTGACAATGGCTGTAAATACTGCCTGCAGTGACTGTACTGATACAAAGTATACTGACAATGGCTGTAAATACTGCCTGCAGTGACTACTGATACGAAGTATACTGACAATGGCTGTAAATACTGCCTGCAGTGACTGTACTGACACTGAGTATACTGACCATGACTGTTTATACTGCCTGCTGTGACTGTACTGACACTGAGTATACTGACAATGACTGTGTATACTGCCTGCAGTGACTGTACTGACAGAGTATACTGACAATGGTTGTATATACTGCCTGCTGTGACTGGACTGACACGGAGTATACTGACAATCGCGGTCTATACTGCCTGCTGTGACTGTACTGACAGTGGGTATACTAACAATGGCTGTATATAGTGCCTGCAGTTACTGTACTTATACAGAGTATACAAACAATTGCTGTATATAGTGCCTGCAATGACTGTACTGATATGGAGTATACGAACAATTGCTGTATATACTGCCTGCAGTGACTGTACTGACTGGCCGTATATACCGCCTGCTATGACTATTGATACTGAGTATATTAACAATGGCTGTATATACTGCCTGCAGTGACTGTACTGATACGAAGTATACTGACAATGGCTGTAAATACTGCCTGCTGTGACTGTACTGACACTGAGTATACTGACAATGGTTGTAAATACTGCCTGCAGTGACTGTACTGACCATGAGTATACTTACCATGACTGTATATACTGTCTGTTGTAACTGTACTGAAAATGGCTGTATATACTGTCTGCTGTCCAGCCACATGGGGCAGGAGCGGCGGGAATGGTTCAAACCGTTCAGTAGAATAGTGTGATGTACCCCAGTGCCAGGTCGCGCGACTCCTGCGTGGTAGTGTCCGTGTGAGCGGGAAGGCCATGGGTCCATGGCAGGGCGTATCACTGTGTGCGAGGGATCCTCTGGTGGCGGTCACACAGGGCCAACATGTCCACACAGAGCAAGGGGTGTCACACACTGCCTAGCCCTGCATTCTAAGTCCACACTCTCCCTAGTGCCTGTATTGTCCGTCGGCACTCACTGAGTTGACACTCTCTCTAGTGCCTGTATTGTCTGTCAGCAATGTGTGAACTGACTCCTAGAGATACTGGGGGAATCTCCCTGCAGCTTATATTGTGCTCCTTTTTCATACAGGGTTATTCATAAAGGTGAGAATTCAAAGTGAATTTGTAATATAAGCCCAGAGTAACTGAACTGGGAGCCTGGCTGACTTAGAGAATATTTCCAGTTTGACTATTATGGCCTGAAATATGTAATTTACTTTGAATTATTACATTAGTGAATAACCCTGATAGTCCAGCACAGAATGAAGGTGTGGGGAAAAATAAATATAACTGAGCAATTAAATGCTAAACTAGCAGGGATGAGCCCATACACCGCAGGGAAACATAGAAAACTAGGGGAGGGACTCCTATACTGGGGTTAAAGCGACACTGTCATGCCGAACTTGCCTTTCCCCAATCGATTCCTCTTATCTCCCTCTGTCGGGGTCTGTTCTTCATTTCTTCCTGTCTGCACTAGTTTTTTTTTTTTTTAAACATAAGACAAAGTAGTGTCCCTCTGCCCCTGCTCTATCGGGCACCCTCTGAATTACCCTCTTCCATCACCAAGGTCCAACGGCGCTGGGTTAAATTCCTCCTTTGACGTCAGCCGATGGGAGAACCTAATATGCATGCAGAGCATTTAGTCCTTCCCAAAAGGAATCCGTGCTATCCTATGGGGATTTAAAAGATGCTGGACGTCCTCATGCGTATCTGAGTCAAACTCCATGAAAGGCCAGGAAGCGCCTCTAACAGCTGTCTGGTAAACAGCCCTAGGGACAGGCTTAACTATGCAATGTAAAAGAAACTGTGATGTTTGTAGCTGCAGGGCTAAATGTGAGATGACATTGAGTGCCTAGAGTGTCTCTTTAACTAGGAATTGTTTGAGAGGAAAAGTGGCTTATTTGTTTCATTTATGTATATACAGTGTTCATGATGCCATGAGTCTTCGAATAAGTACAGGTGGTAAATTTGATAAAGATTTATTCAAATGTATTTCATACTTTATTCGCTATAGTCATCAGCGCTCATGATTTGCTTGAAATCACCAGTTTGCCGGCAGTGTTAATGAGTCAGATTTGTGTTGCTGGCGGATTTCTACGGAAGCCAAGTGAGCGATTTTGCTGGCTGAAAGCAAGCTGCTCTCAAAATTACCATCCCCTTAGGCTTCAGTGGAGATTTTGCTTGTGCTAATGTGCAGTGAGTTGTAAACTCTCATTTGCAGGAGGAAACATGGGGACATGGATATCATTAGAATTTTCAAAATGCCGTTGCACAATATTCTGGCTGCTCAGTAGACATAAGTACATTTTACTTATACTTTTTGTTTTTCTAGTTCCCATTTTAACGTTCTTGTCTGCCAGGATATAAACGTGCTGTGCAGTAGTATGTGGAATGATATGCTTGGTTAACAAATACAAGCTTTTCCTTTGGGATTCCAGACATGACTAATTAGTTGAATATTACAATGAAAGCACCAAAATTCCACACGCAGCTTTCCTTGAATGACAGGATTATTTACTAAAGTGAGAGTTCAAAGCCAGAGTATTCAAATTTAAAGCCAGAGTAGCCAAACTGAAAACATAGCTGGCTTATAGAATTTTTCCAGTTTGGCTATTTTGACCTTAAATTTGAATTCATCTTGAATTCTCACTTTAGTGAGGAACCTTGCAAGTGTCCAGCGATCTAGTAACCCAAGTTATCACAAACTCTTTGAGTAATATAAACTTGCTGGAAAACTAAAAGCAGCTGAAGAGGAGGTGTGGAGTAATGCACAGCAGGCAAGAAGTCTAAACGTTCTAAAACCACATAGCTGAAGAGCACTCCTACACTATAACCACTACAGCACACTGTGTGTTCCCATAAGAGCAAACACCTGTGAATCAACCAAGCTTTTAATTATAGTTTGGAAAATAAGGGAAACAACAAATCTCTAAATTAAAATGGCCTTTACCTGAAATTATGTCAACACACTATTTCTAACAGAATATATCATTTTCATCCAGCTAAGCTACAGTAAATGTAGCTGTGTTTGCAATTTATCATTTTCCAAAGTAGATTCTAAATGTATCACATTTCAAAACACCGTCCGATGTATACCATTTACAATTCTCTGTGATCATGTGATGGCAGCAGCCAATCAGAACCTGGGGGTGCAACATTTGAGCTGATAACTGTTTACACAATTTTTCACCAAACTCCAAATTGCAGTGAATTGAAATTCAAATAATTTGGGCTAAAATGTCCAAGGTGTGATTGTAGTGGAGTTGAAGACTTCTTCGAGACCAACAATTTTAGCTAAATGGTTGCTTTTTATTTCAGTTCCGTTCAGTTCAAAGTTTAGTGAATATTTCCTGCCAATGTTATTTGCAGGAAATTGTATTTCAAATACGGCATGCCTTCTGTACCCACAAAAAATTAGGAATGGCTATACTTTTATTTATTTGAAGATATTGCTGAACAGTTTTTAATCACTATCCAGTTTTTTGTTTGTTTTTTGTAATGATTATTACAATATTAAGAAATGATCAGAGCCAACTGTGTGTATATATATATATTTTTTATTTCTCTCCTGTATAGATATGTTTTAAATCTTCTGTCAAGAGGTGTTGAAACAGCTGAGTATTTGTGAATAAAATTGCATGAAAGCTGCTTTGTTGAAAATGGATGACGAAAAGAATCTGGATACGGCGCAGAAAGATATACGAGCCTTACTCATTGCATCTAAGAATGGGCTTAGCATTCAGGAACTGGAACATGATTATAGAATGATGATTGGTTCACATATACCTCTGCGGACCTTAGGCTACCGATCTACTATGGAAATGGTTTTAGATATGCCAAATGTTGTGCATGTCCAATCAAGATGTGATGGCACTGTATTGTTATCAGGTATGTACCTTTTTAGTGTCTCAGAAGTAGAAAAACATGTTTTAGGTAGGTATACGAGATCTTTCTGTAAAAAGTTCTTCTTAATGGCCCATCTATAAAGGCACCTTGTGTTTTGTAAGTTCCAGAGTTAAGTGTCTCCAGGTCCTTCTCCAGTCCAGGGTAGCTCTGGATAGATCTGGGAAGAATGGCAGCTGATATTCTTCAAAGGAGTAGGGTCATGAACGCCTGCATGTCAGTGCCGTTTTGGAGGCGTATTATGACGTCACTGTGCACTCCTGTAGCGCTTGCCGGAGGAGCTGGGAGCTTGTAGCATCCATCCAGAGTAATTAATTTGGCTTGTTTGGCCGAGAATAGTTGGGTTAGAAGCCTCTAGAACAGGTGAGGTATTTCAGCTGTGGCGATATCATCGTGAAGGCCTCACACCTTTGTTTTTCCACTGCCTCTGGTCCTCCATTGCCTCCATGCGGTACTGTGTCTGCACCTGTTCGCGTCGTAACGTGGAGAGTTCCCGTTCTAGGGCAGTAAGCCGTGTCTCATGGCCTGCTGTGGTAATCTCAGTTTCGTAAAGGCGTGCCGTTACTCCGCTGATCTCTTCTTTAAATGCACAGATGTCCGCAGCGATATTTCGGCGTAACTCGTCAAAGAGGGCCTTCAGGGTACCTTCCGTCACTGGTGTCCCAGATTTTCGATCAGACTGTATAGCACCTTGCTTGCCTCTAGTCTGTACCTCCAGTTCCATCAAATCAGGTAGGGACGTTTCATTGGACGAGCAAGACTGCCAATCTAAGAGAGGCGCCATGACAGGCCTCGTGAAGCATTGGGGCCTCCATAAGAGATCGGCGGTTGTTGGGGGCTTATCTGCCTGATATTTTTAGAGTTACACCCGATGGTAGCTGGAGACAGCAGCTCTCTCTTGGGCAGGTTTTGTGGGTACAAACTGGTGAAATAGCCGTTTTAGCTCGTGGCTTAGCGGAGCTCTCACAGGATGCGTCGGATCAGTCAGGCAGCTGGCTCTGCACCTCTTCAGGATTGGAACTTCCATCCATCCTGGTAGAGCAAATTGGAACTGACTGAGGGCACCCCTTGTACTACTAGCATTATTCTGACAACTTCCCAGTGCTAAAGTGGTGCCTAATCTACTTGTCCTGACACACAAACTAATTTCAGAATGTGGTATATGCCTTGAGTCCATGGCACTAACCTCTCACATTCCCTGTAGCAGACCTGCCACTTGCCTACGGCAGAGGTAAAGGCAGAAAAGCTGCCTGCCCAGAACTGGGTGATGGGAATATCCCACCAATGTACTATGCAGCCCATAACTTATCTTATCATGTCTGTGCTTACTAACCTGTTTTGCTAGGGAGAATACCTTTCTATGATGTACTAGTTCAAAAAAATATTAAGTACTGTGATGTGAGACCTTTTTGTATGAACTTTAATTTTTAATTTTCTATTTTCTTTTTTGTCACACAAGCTGTGGTTGATGAATCTACTAAAAGCATTGCAGATTTGGTTTCACGTCAGAAGAACCCATCTAAATCAAAACCAAGAAAAAGGCGTGTTTTGAGACCTAGATATCATGTAGACATAACAAGACGTGGAAGAATAGCTCCTGTGCTCCCGGCAACAGTGAAGAGTGATCTGCGAGACTTGCTGTCCATTTCACCATTGCTGGTCTCAGAATTGGAGAAGGCCTTCGCGTCTCGGTTTGGACGTAGTTTTCAGTATTCTCGCTATGGTTTCTACTCTATGTTAGAAGTTATCAGATCTATCTCTGATATTGTTCAAGTGAAACAGACACGAGCTGGTTCATTGCTAGTGCTACGGACACCTGAGGATAGTGAAACAGCTGGTGAGAAGCCAAGTGATTTAAAGGTGTTATGCTTCCCTTTTCTTTGTTCCTCTAACCATTATGGAGCTATTTTATTTTCCTTATGTTTCTTTTCTGTTTCTCCATAGGCTGTAGATTTTTGTAACTTTTTTATTTATTATTTTTTTGCCTTTTGTGAAACATCACATTTTAGGAACTGGTTTGAAACGGGCTAGTGCTTCTTCCTTATTGAAACATGTAACTACTCCCATGGCATCTTACAGAATTCCAGATCAAACTCAATCACAAGGCATGACAAAAATAACATCTGTGCAAGGAAAAGGTCTGGTCAACCCAACCACCAGTCATCCATGTTTACAGGCTTCCACCAAGTTAGCAGAATCTCCGAACTCCTCTGAAGTGAGCTGTAAAAAGAAACCTGTGGAGAATACAAACAGCTTGTATGTAAGCACTTCTCAGGAGGAGCATCAGGTGGCAGAAGGAAGCAGAAGACCAGAAAGCCATGCAGCTTTGAATAGCCCCTCCAGTCCAGCTAGGTCGCCAGATCCCATTACCAATAGTTCTATCAGAAAGAATCATCTATTAGAAGAAATTAAAACTCCCGAATCACAAGGATCAATGAAAGAGAAAGATCATGTTTCTCCTTTGGCACCTGCTAAAGATGACAGCTTGCAGTGGCTGGAAACAAAGGTGTGGTCTATTTATGTACTTACTAGTACTTTGTGCACTCACTGTCTTTAGCATATTTCCCTGTCGTTGCTGCTATCTTTATACTGTCCATATTTCTATCACGTTTTTTCAAATATTTCTTAAAGGAACACTCCACGCACCATAGCTATAACTATGCCACAATTAAATTATGATGTGATTACTAATATCAACTTCCATTATTTTGAAATCCACGGCTTTTGGAACACAGTCCCTTTAGTGTCCTCAATGAAATACATCTTCCATAAACGCCCTATTCACTTTTTTTTTTTTTTTGTAAATCTTTTTTATTGAAAAGGACTTAGCTAGAGAATTAGGCACGCAGGCCTAATTATTATTATTTGGAACAGTGCTTGATTACATTGTTACTTCACATAAAGAGCATAATTGCATTTTATATAAGTATGCCATGAGAGTGTTGTTTAAACATTTAAACTTTGTTCTACACACGGACAGGCATATATAATTGTCATCCAAGGCTTGGTGCATGTCACCATGTGAGCGTCTGGCCGTTTCCCTCCATCAAGTATGAGGTTGATAGTTCCCACCCCCTATTCACTTAAATGAAATGTTAAAAGAGGTTAATGGGAAATGTAGAGGCCATTTGTGCATTTTAGTATGTGCCAACTGCCAGTATGGGATACATAGAGCACTCACAAATAGCCATGGACAGCTCTGGATGTGCTGAGAGATCTCTGCTATTTCCTAGTTTATGTCAAGGGCTGCAAATGTGATCCATAGCCTAGGGATTTGCCATAAATGTGTATATAAGTGTGTGTGTGTAAAAATTAAAACTCTAGTTTTTAATTGTGGGTGCTTATTGTCCATTTTTTTTTCTCCAACTTCCATAATACTATGTAAATGTTTTTTTTTTTCTTTGCTAGATAATAGTTTTTTGTTGTTTTTTTTTTTTTTTTAAATGTCTTATGTGTGATTAATCTTGCTCTAGTGCATTGCTGTTAGATCCTAAAGTGAAATCAGGCTGAAATTAGTGAAATACCTTTTATTTTTACAGTTGGAAAAGGAGCTGAGATTATGCTTGGCACAGAAGGGAGCTGGTGGAAATATCAGTCCAGATCTTCGACTGGAGATACAACACGTGGGTTTAATAATACATTCCTACCCCATATAAAATATCCAGTCAGATTGAAGGGAGAATATAGAAACATGTTGTTTATACAGTTTAATGTAATCATACAGATTTGATTCACTAATTTATTGCTGTTCAGTCTACTTTTAAGTATTCCTAATCAAACAGAACGGTTCATGCTGTCTGGTTGCCTACTGATATTACTTGTTAATGATTCTCTTCGATTTCAGATTGTCAAACAGCATCCAGAGGGATTACTGGTTTCTCAGCTCCCTGTTGTGTTTAAGGTAAGCACCTTTTTTGAAGTGGGCTCTGTTGTCAAAATGTATATGCATATAGTAAGAATTTTGTGTGAATGAGTGCAGTATGTGATTCGAGAGAACTTGGAGGCATTGGCTAGACTATTCTGTATTTGTATTTAGAATTGTCTAGGGAAGGACCTGCCATACAGACACCTGGGGTTCATGTCTGTAATGGAGCTCATAGGCTCTCTCGGCGACATGCTTCATTTGGAAAGGACAAAGGATGGGAAAGACTGGTATTTGTTTGACCTGGAAACAACAGGTAGAAATTCCGGTAAGGACTCTGTACGTGATTTCTTCAGTGTGATTGTAGACGGTTGGTGATGTGATTAGAATTACAATTCATCATTACAGCAGTTATAACTACTCCGTCTGCATGGATGCATGGAATAGCCTTCCAGCTGAAGTGGTAGAGGTTAACACAGTAAAGGAGTTTAAGCATGCATGGGATAGGCATAAGGCTATCCTAACTATAAGATAAGGCTAGGGACTAATGAAAGTTTTTAGAAAATTGGGCAGACTAGATGGGCCGAATGGTTCTTATCTGCCGTCACATTCTATGTTTCTATGTCTTTTAACTAAAGTGTTACTATTTATCAGATGACCCTATGATGCTGGCGTCCACTCGATCGCTTTCCAACTGGGATTTGCCTCAGCCAAAGGTGATGCATATGAAGCCAATGGAGCTCAAAGCTTGTCAAGCAGATGTAAATCTCTGGGTATGATTAGGATGACTGTTTAAGCTTTAAAAGTCATATACTTATATGAGATATATTATAAAGTTAGGTGTCAGATCTGGTGGACACAATTGTTTTTATTATTTAACAGTGAGGAGGAAGACTTTAAAATGAAGCTTTGTTTTGCAATGCATGTTGTGCTTTGGCTAAATTAGAACATGTATTCTGTGTATTATGCCTGCAAAAAAAAGCAAGCAAATGTATATATTAAAGGGTATTCTAAACAATATAACCACTAATTTTAGTGGTGTTGGTTTTAAAGAGTTTTCAGGTACCAACACGCAGGTTTGTGTCAAAACTCTTTCAAGTGGTTTGAGGCAAACTGGGGTTCTTTTGGCACATAAAACCACTCTATGTTTAGGCCCATCAACTGTAAATGGCACTGGTAAAGTCTTGGTTTTTTGTCAAAGTGCTCAAAATAGTTTGATGCAAACATAAAGAGATTGGCCAGGGTTACCATGGTTCCCAAATAAAGACAAAATAGTTATGTCAAATGGATAATGGTGCTGATCCCACACGCTGTGGCTCTTACAGTGAACAGTGACAAACAAAATACAGAAAAGGGAGGGAAGCGCTACCAGAAAATTGTGAATGTAAGTGCTACCACATTTATTGAAGAGGAAGCTTTTTGGGAATAGCCTTTTCTCAGTGCATCTTTTTTTCTGAAGCACCACCTCTCTGTTAAGGCCACAAACATTTACATGAACTAAAACTGACCGATAGTACGTTGTGAGATGGCCAACTCTTTAACAGCATGTCAGGATACACATTGGCTCTTTACAACCGTTCCTTAGGTTTGCATGACATGGTCACTTTTACCTACATTCAGATTATTCAGTCTTCTATGGCAGCTTAAAGTTTATATTTCCCATGTAAAGGGGGGGAAAAGGCTGCATAATGTGTGATTTATTCTTTAATAGTAAACACTTTCTCATTGCTTATCATTATGTCTTCTTTGTCTTTTAAGTGGGGACCTCTGGAATTACAATTACCATTAAATAAAGAGAACGAAATCCCTCCTGATGCTGTTAGACAGCAGAAACTACACAGCTTATCTCGTATGAAACGTGGCTTTATGATTGGTGTTCTTGTCGAAAACATTACATCTCCCAGTGAGTTCTATATCCGGTGCTATGGGAAAGACACATCTGAAAAGCTGGAGGACATGATGATAGAAATGAGGTGAAAGCAAGATTTATTTTTCTTAATTGTTAGTTGTTTTTTTTTTTTTTTTTTTATTGTTAAATGGATCCTATAGTGCCAGGAAAACATACCTGTTTTCCTGGCGCTATAGGCTCTTGGAGTGCCCCCTCCCTCGGCGCTGAAGAGGTTAAAACCCCCTTCAGCCACTTACCTTAGTCCATCGCCGGTGACCTCTGCTCCCCCGCCGACGTTCCCTCCCGAGTGGAGTCGAATGCACATGCGTGGCCAGAGACGCAATCATTTAATCCCGCCAATATGAAAAGCATTACTCAATGCTTTCCTTTGGGGATCTTGTATGACGCTGGACTCCATGAGGACGTCCAGCGTTAAATAGATGCGATTTACTCCATGTAAATGGCGGAATCGGCCTCTAGTGGCTTTCAGGGAGACAGCCACTAGAGGCTGGATTAACCCTGCAGTATAAACATAGCATTTTCTGGGAAACTGCTATGTTTTCAGCTGCAGGGTTAAAACTAGGGGGACATGGCACCCAGACCACTTCATTGAGCTGAATTGGTCTGGGTGCCTATAGTGGTCCTTTAATAGTTGTTAAATTATAAATTTACGTGTTAAGCTCATAGATATTTTTGTACAACACCTTTCCCCAGTTAGTACCAAATACGTGTCCAGCCCTAGTATCGTTTACTTATTAGGTTAGTGGTTATTATTGATTTGCATTGTCAGGGGAAACATGCTTAAAAGGACACTATAGGCACCCAGACCACTTCAGCTCCTTGAACTGGTCTGGGTGCTGTGTCCCTATTGCACTTAGTTTTGCAATGTAAAACATTGCAGTTCAAAGAAAATGCAACATTTACATTGCAGCACTTAGTCCGCCCCCAATGGCTATGTACCAGACCGCCACTAGCGGTGCTTTCTGCTTGCTAGTTGGCTTTTGGTCGACTAACTCACGCTGGACATCCTCACTCTCTGCAAAAGGACATCCAGTGTTTGCTAAATCCCTATAGAAAAGCAATGAGATCATGCTTTCCTATGGGAAGGGCCTAATGTGCTTGCAGCGCTCACCATGCATGCGCATTAGGTTCCTCGGTCTTTGCAGTACTTGGTTTATTGAGACCCCATAAGATTTATTTGCAGGGAATGCTATGTGAATTTCAATTTCAGAGTTATGTGACTAAGTACATGAAGTGTGAATTGCTGAACTGAGAACACAGCTGGTTTGTGGAATGTTTAAAATTGGGCTATTGTGGCCTTACATTTAAAATTCACTCTCAAGTCCTGACAATTCCCAATACTGTATAGCTACATTTGAGGGCCATTTCTTATTCCTTTTGTAAAAACATAGCATTCTATCTTTCCCTGTTCTTATTTATTTATTTTTTTAAAGAGATTGACCCCAGATGTGAACCCAGAAGCATTAGCAGTGTGGTGGTGGTGGTGTTGTTTTTGGGTGGGATGTGACATAGATATCTTTAACATTAAAGGAACACTCAAGGGTGCAATGCAATAGTAATTTGTTTTATGCACTAGGTAAGATTTTTTAAATAAATATGCACCAGCAACGTAACCATTATTACAAGTAAATTCACTGCCTACATTATTTCCAAGTATGTCTTCACTACCTCTAATTCTTCAAAACTCAAGGAGTTGTCAGAAACTCTCTATTCAGTGTGGTGCATATATATCTCTGAGCAATGCCTTCTTTATTACTTTTTTACCTTCGTCAGTTTACTAAGAGGGGCGGGGGGAGTCTGTAAAGTAAACACAGCCTTCATCTGTTTTTCCATACAGAAGACTGTACTTAAAGGACCACTCTAGGCACCCAGACCACTTCAGCTTAATGAAGTGGTCTGGGTGCCTGGTCCAGCTAGAGTTAACCCATTTTTTTTTTATAAACTGCTATGTTTATAAATGGGTTAAGCCTTCCTCCAAGTCCTCTATTGGCTGTCTCACGCTAGAGGCGTTTGCATGATTCTCACTGTGAAAATCACAGTGAGAACACGCAAGCATCCATAGGAAAGCATTCTGAATGCTTTCCTATGAGACCGGCTGAATGCGCGCACAGCTCTTGCCGCATGTGCGCATTCAGCCAAATGGGAGGATCGGAGGAGGAGAGCTCCCCGCCCAGCGCTGGAAAAAGGTAAGTTTTAACCCCTTTCCTCTCCCCAGAGCCAAGCCGGAGGGGGTCCCTGAGGGTGGGGGCACCCTCAGGGCACTATAGTGGTCCTTTAATTTGCAAGCAGATGCTTGGGGTCAGCTACCCCATAATACATTGCTGGAAGAAATAGCCAGGACATGCCGATATAGTCTTCAACCAAACTACTTACCTTTCCAAGAAAGGAAAATGATTCAAAACGGTGGCAGAGATCAGTGAATTGTATTGACAAATGTGCATGATTTGTGTTTTTTCATAATGAAATATTGACAAAATTGTAATAGGTTTATAATAGTTGTTACATTGTGAATTTGCTGAGCTCATCTTTAAATAGAGAGCGGCACGCACACATGATTTTTAATTTATTTACTTTACCAAAGAACATTTTTTTCAACAAAGATTTAAGGTGGTAAAGTTACCGAATTAAAAAAAATAAATAAATAATTACAACTAAAGCAATTTACTTGTTTATCATAAACCTGCTTTTGGACCATAGCATTGCATGCTCTTGCTTTATCCCACTGGCCAACTGATATGGGCAACTGCACAAAGAATATTAAAGAACAATGCTGTTGGAGATCTCATACACTAAGTCTGTTTTGTTCAAGTTAAAGCCCTTACACCTCTTCTGGGCCTCAATAAAGGTGTATATGTTGTCTTACCTGCTGTATCTAAAGAAGAGGACTTGGCAAAATAAGGCCCTTCTGCATGATATCCATAAGCTGTTAGAAGCCAGTATGTAATTAGTTAAGAAATAATTTACTGCCCTGACTGGTCATGTGGTGGTGGAGAATGTGGGTGACAAGCTATGCAAAGATACATTTGACCAGAAATCCTGTTCAGAGTTGTCTGTCTGTGTAAAGAACTGACCTAAAGACTATGATCTACTAAGCAACCCCCAGTTTATTTCCACTTGCCTGTGTACTTTTATTACCCTCTACCTCTTGTTCGCTACCCAGGACATCATATCCGGAAATCAGAGTGTCCAGATGCTATTAAGCGGGAATAACCTGTGTTTCTTCTGGAACTCTGGCTTGACCACACTCAACCCCTTTCTCCGGTCATATTGTACCTCGGTTTTCACCACCTTCCCAACAACCCAGGATGGCACTTTTTGAAAGGAATCACCTACCCCTTTAGTCCACCAATCACTCTCTGTAACCAACAGGGAGCTCCCCTTCCCCACCAAGATATAAACCCCATTAATATACAGAGAGATAGCTCTGACCACTTTAGTCATCCTTTCCACAATGGTCGGCTGAAAGGCGATCACATTTGGACAATATACCATGGATCCGAGCTTTATTTTTACAAAAACGACCTTTTAAATGATGTATGACATGTGGAGTTACCTTGAGGTTTAATGCATGTTTTGGGGGTATTTCTGTATTACGTTCTCTGTATCCAGGAGATGATTAATCCACCGAGGCTCAACTCTATTATCTCCCAGAGAGACGCCTGGGCGGGCTTAAGAGTTTCTGAATAGACACCCCATGCTGGAGATCTGGGTATAAATGTATGTGCTTTTGCCTAATAAAACCAGTTGTTATATCCTTCATCAAGACTCAACTGATATTTGGGTATATGGGAGCTGTAATCACTACTTCACTGCAGGACCTGGGAGAGAGACTATGACAGAGATACCACTCTGGGTACAGGCGCTCCTTTACAGTCTGCATTGCAAATATGGAGGTCCAGAGCAGATGTCCTAAGGATAAACTAGCTCCCTCAATCTATTTGCAGGATATTTTCTACACTGTTGCCGCCCTAAATATTACATGCTTATTCAACTTGATTGATGTTTTCAGCTCAGAGTCACCAAAAGTCCTGGCTGAAGCTGCAACATCTGTCCTGCTCATATTCCAGCATGTCTTGCTTAAAGACTTGTTCATGAAGAATCTGAGATTTCAACCAACACTGACTTTTTCCCCCTGACCTTTTATAGGACTTTTGGCTTGTAGTTGAGCATGGGAAGAGTCATAGCATTCCCAAATAGCAGAGGCCTGAGACATTGCAATTATGTGTCCCTCTTTTGAGAGCTTCTTTAGCCTCAGGCTCCCCAGTCTAAATTTGAGTCCACTTACTGCTAAAGCTACCGTTTTTGTACTATCTGCATTGAGCTTTATCCACATGTTGTTTTTCTTCATTTTATAGTTCTATCAGGTGGTCCATAATGTATTTATTTGTGATGTTTTCACCCACAGTATCAGTCAGTAATCTGAACTAGTTAAGCCTATCGTTAAGATTAGTTGTTGGTTGCTATAGCTATTTGATTGTGGTACATTTTATTATATAGTGTGGTTTATCTAATGTTATACATTGAGATATATATGTACAAGAGAGAGAGCTATGTGTATATGTATGTATGTGAGTGTATTTATAATATATTCAAGCTAAATAACAATATTGGAGGAAAAAAGAACAGCATCTCTGGAGCCCTTTCAGTGATATTGAGAAAGGACTCATAAGTCCCTTGTCTTGTTTTATAGGCGTTGCTATTCTAATGAATGTGTTTCGGAACGCTATGCTGTGCCTGATAACTGCATCTCTGTCGGGGAGATCTATGCTGTAAAGGTGACTGGAGATGTGTGGTGGTATAGAGTTATTGTGCATGCTATTGTCAACGACGAAGAGGTGACTGTATATTATCCTGACTTTGGCACCGTGTCCACGGTTAAGAGATGCTTGTTGCGTTTTCTCAAGTAAGTTGGAGGTTGTTCTTTGTAATACAGTCATACTAATTTTATTAATCTGCATCTTCCTTCATTCATTGTGATTGCTCATCCCTTCTGACTATCTTCTTGGATGAACAACGATCATAAAATATTGCTTTGCATTTTGCTTTGTCTGTTCTCTTTTGTAGTTATTGTTTGTACTTTGAAATTTTGCCTGCCTGCTCTTATCTCTCTTGCTACTTTCTCTAGAAATTGCTACATGAGGCTTCCTGCCCAGGCTGTGCCTTCTTGCCTAGCCTTTGTGCGTCCAGTAGAGGTAAATGAATAACATACAAGTAGAGCAGTGGGAAAGCTGTTGTATTTATCTGCTTTCTTACAACCAATATTATGTTTCCATGTAGGACTTCTGGTCAACAAAAGCCATAAAGCGTTTCCAACAGCTGTGTGGTTGTGGCCCTCTGGTGGGCCTGGTGCTTCAGTATGTCATGGATGTTTTATACTTGTTCCTTTGCGATACGTCATCCGATGAAGATGTTTATCTTCACCAAGTATTGACATCTAATGGTTTGGGACACGTTGGTCAAGAGCCAGGATTTTACAAGGTGAGAGAAGTCAAAAGAAAGTTACTGTGCAACAAGCATCAATTCAGCATTAAACATGTGTGATAAATATGTAAGCTGCGTAGAAAAGCCTGCAATAAGAAATAATTGCATGTGTTGTAGCCCTTCCAAAAGAAATAAAGGCAACTGTAGATTAACCTGCCACACAAACTAAGGAACTGCTATTAGTGTATGATGTAAAAAGCACTTTATTATGCAAAATTATTATGTACTGTATTTCTTTCATTAATAGGCACAAAACACTGCCAGCAAATAAAAGCAAAGACAAATACAGTAAATTGCATTGGAAGTCATGTACTCTGATAAGGAATTATATTTTTGGAACAAGGATGAGGGGATGTGGCTAAAGGCAGGCTTATGGTGTAGCAAAAAGGATTTTTTTAAATTAAACTCGAGGTGGCAATTGAACAGAGCATCTGCCTTGCAAAGACTCATTGCGCTGCAGTGGGCTGTCAGTGATTGGACAGCCACAGAAAGCCTGGGGTAGGTTAGAAGGGCTTGCACATGCTTCAGACAAGAGGAATGTAGCTTTTGCAAACTGTTTTACATATACCCCCAGTGAAAAAATGGATAATTAAATGCATGCATGTTTTTGTTGGGGGATGTATCTACTAAACAGTGATTAAAAAAACAAAACAAAAAAACCCAAACATTTTTTAGCTATAAATTAAACAGGCCCTGCTATTACCTGGTTTAGTTAGCTAACTGGAGCTAAACTCAAGAGGCAGCAAGTGCCCAGAGCACCTGCCTTACAAAGACCTCTCTTTGAGCTGCATTGGGAAGTCTGGGAGGGGTTAGAACAGGTTGGGCTCGTAAAGGCTGCAGACAGCAGATGTCCTGCTTTTGCAAGCTACTTTTAGATATACCCTCAGGTTACATTGAAGCACCCTCTGTTGATGTTAATTACAACCAATTTATTTGATTTTATATCTTGGAAGCAGTTGTGCATTATTATTATTATTTTTATTAAAGGGACACTTCAGGTACCTATACCTCTTTAGTATATTTTATAGATTTTTGCCTCCATATGCTGTATGCTCAAATCTTTATAGTTTTTGCACACAAAAAATAAATGTTTTGTAGTATGCAGCCTCTTTAGCTACGCCCCCTCACTACCTTATCAAAATGGCATGCTCACAGCTTGGCCACTGACAGTACTGAAGGATCTGCATTAAAAGGACTGGACACCATAAAGTAAGGATATCACTAATTGTCTTTAGCTTCTCTGACTGTCCACAGCCAGGTTGTGCATTAAAAACAGCTCACTCAGGCTGAGACTGTACACAAATTCTGGCATGAGGGTGTGTGGCAGGCTTATGGTGCAGCATTCTGCAAAACATTTAGTTGTTTTTTTTTTTTTTCAAATGAAAATACAGCATATGAAAGGGGCACTCAATGCACGCAAACAGTTCCATCTAAATTAAGGTAATGGTGCCAGGAGGCCTCTTGAGGTTCTATTACCTGAAGGGATTAAATTGTTCTAGAATGTTTAAACCCAAAATTGTCTCCAGCTGCGATTGTTCACTTTCCCCCATTGACATGCGGCTTCAGAGTTTTCAGATTCAGGATGTGCGGAGTGCCAATCAATGACTCCCCATTCACAAAGCTGGCTTGGAAAATGCACTAAAGTTGTATTGGTGCCCAAAGTGGTGTGTGTGTGTATATATATATAATATAATTTTTTTTATTTTATTTATTTTTTTTTTTTTTACATACTATAACAATAATTATTTTCACTGTATAACATCAGTAGTTTCTGAATGTTCACATCAAGAAAATGTAATACTTTGTGGAGTGTTTCTCTTCCCTTTTCAAAATATCGTAGAATGTGCAGAAATGCAATCCGTATATGCACCATCTTAAACATTCCCCAGTCAAGGCTCCAGAAGTGTGTCTAGAGGAATGTTCAAAGAGTTCGATGGAAAACAAGTGTGTTCCTTCTGAAAACATAAGTGACTATGAACCAATCCATGAGGTAAAGTTATTGAAGAGCCTTTGACATCGACTCAAAATTTATAGTCAACCTTTCTCAGTTGCCTAAAATATTTAGGTTTTTTTTTATCCTAACTATTCTAACTGATTCCATTTTAAACTGTGATAATTGCATTAGAGCTCATTCATCTACAGTCTGCTACAAAAGTCAAATGTCCATTCAGAGCATCTGCCGTTTTTAGATTGTAAACACTACATTTTATTTAGGTAACTTAAGGGTCAATATTCAAAATATTGTTAAGATGTGAAAAATTGTTAGATTTGCATTATACCAATTGCTCAACTAACTTTTTTTTTTTTGTAGAGTAGATTACATTAATCTTATTTGAAACTTGACTTGTCATGCTTGTGTTTGCTATTTTTTCTTGTTTCATTTACATTCCATGGGGAGTAAAGCATTGTTTAATCAGTGTTGTCTTTTCCTTTCCTATGATATTGTAGGATGTGAAATTTGAGATGCCATATCTTGAAGCACTTCCCACAGGTGGCGATATATGGGATGAGAATTGGTCTTTATCAGGCAGTGTAGTTTCTCTTGAGGAAGCATCCAAGCCCGCAGACCTGAACTTAAAAATATGTCAAGAGCAGGAGACCGAAGATGAGGTTTGTCTTTAGTTTAGCAATACATGTTTGCTTTCCTTGCTGTCTAGAAATAATTGTTAAACGGTTGCTCCAACCACCATGACCACTTCTGCATTTAGAATTAATTATAATGTAAGCCATGTCTATGTGCAGTGTTTCTGCGTTTTTGTGCCAGAGTGTAAATATGATCTAGTCAGTCGTAAGTCTATTGCGGACTAACTAATGTGAGTCCTCTCCGTAAAAAGCGCGCATCTTCAGCGTGCACTATGTGCTGCATATGGTCATAATAAGCCTATTTTCTTGCAAGTAGCAATGTGAGTGTACCTGCAAGGAGACATCTATAGGACTCTGTGTGTGTGTGTGTGTGTGTGTCAGCTTCTAAATAACTGTCTCATTGTAAAACTGTCCCCTCCCTCTGTTATGCCTGGCCTCCTAGCCCTCCCTACATTATATTTTGTAACTGCTTATTTCTTCATCTCCTCTTGGAATGGCACTGGATTTAACAGTATTTCTTCCTTTTCTCTTAGCCCAACTCTGGATTCAAGGTCAAATATTTTTTTTTCTTTCCTAATTTTACAAAAATTTAAACACAAAGTGCAGGGGATAATAAGTGAAAGGTATTGAATGCATTTACAGCCAAAATAAAGTACGTTTTAATGAGGGTTGAAGTGACCCTTTTACCAATGATGCAAAGAATAGATTATAACCGCTATTATCACAAGTTATTAAAACATTGATTTTGTTCTCCTGCAGCCTTCAAAGCTTTCTGCAGAGTCTGATGATGGTACCCAAATGCAAGATCCCTTGGAGGAATTTTACATTTCTCTAATCCAGTCCAGGAAATCACAAGATAATAATGTTGAACAACAGTCTTCAGCTAGAGACCTTCCAGAACTTGAGATTGTCAGCCTATCCAACATAGAACATGATCCAGGTAATTCTTCACACCGTGTTCCACTTTTGAAGTGCATACCATTCTGAAGAATAAGATTGAATGGCTGGAAAGCTACAGGATGAATGACCGATGGAGTTTGTACAAAGACAAAATGCATTCAGCATAGTTTTAGAAAGTACTAATTCTTACCTTTTTGGTCTTTTTTTGTAGGCAGCCAGTTGTCCAATACATCAGTTGATGAAAAATTATGTGAGAAAAATGACGTTCTCTTATGTGAGGAACCAACATATTACCAGCAAGCTAGCATCAACCCATTTGTGGGATTACAAAAGCTTCACATGTCTAGAAATACAATGGTGGCCCTTGGACCAGCAGCTCGATTGGCCACTTCTGGCAGATTTATGAATTGGGCTACTGACCAATGAAAGTGTAGTTTGTTATACAGAATTCACCTTGACAGGGCCATTTTTATCTCTCAAATATCCTTTCCATTTTTGCAGCTCTAGTTATTTTTATAGGTGCAGTTACCCCATATTGTGACATTCTTATAATTTAGAATTATAAGAATGTCACAATGAGAGCATATGATTATCCTAGAATTTTATTTTGCTAAAGTGTGCTGGGCTTTGTCCTGCTTTATGATTTGTTTTATAGATTACAACATAGCTTTTACTTTTCAGTGAATGTGTAACAGAATTCTGCCCAAGCTTGTCCCGCCTCAAGGCTGATGACCGTAATTAACGTTTAAATTGTTCACTTGTATTCTCTAGTCTTGTTTCTTTTGTCTGTGAAGCAGGAACACTAAAATCTTTATTATTCACATTATCTGGTGATACGAGGACAATTAGACCATATTCACACATTTAAAATCTTATAAACCATAAGTAAGTAGTAGTAATATTTTATCCTTACTGATAAGTAATATGTGATAAATCCTTAATCACTCTGAAAAATTTCCCACCCACCAGCATAAGTTTATAGGAAAACAACCATAGAAGAGATTTTTGAACTACAATGCCACAGAATGTTTTATGTAGGAAATATGTTAACTAAATGTATGTCAACTTTTATTTGTTTTAAGTTGTGACTTTTTATTTCTTAGGATCTGAGATTCTTATAAGTAAAAACCATAAGGATCTCATTTCCACTGCAGTGTGTTGCACTTTCTGCTACCCAAGAAATAGTAATGTCAGTAGGCACTAACCTTTTCCTGGGTTATTTTCACCTAGCTCAGAAGCTGAAACGTAGAGCTTGCTGGTAGTTCCGATACAGTGCATATTTTTTATGAACCAGTAGAGATTCGTGTATGTTTTAGCCAAAGAAAGGCTGTAAACCGCTCACAGTCTCAGTGCCTCTAGTATTCTACTTAGCATGCAATACCTAGGTTTGATGCATCACATTGTATAAAGGACATCATTCTGCGGTTTTCATTTTTTGATGTGCAGGTCTGGACTCATTTCTAACATCTTTGTTATTTATTCTGTTTGTCACAAGATGTAAAATATTTTGTGGCCCTGTAAGTACGTTAAATTCTTATGCAAATTTTTTTTTCCCCGGTACTAACAAAAATGGTATTGCAACGACATTAATGTTACCAACTTATGGTTTAAAGGAAATTGAAAATAAAAATTAAAAAAATCAAAGCAAAAAAAAAAAATGATTATGTAAATTGGTATTTTAAAAGAGCCACAGAAAGTCAGACAATAGAAATGGTCAGTGTGTAGTAATCAACATGAATCTCTAGTCTATAATTTTAGTTTTGTTAAATGTTTCTCACTTTTTGTAGACTTGGGGGGAGGGGGAATAGATACACATTATATTTTTCGGTTTGATTGTACAAAATCAATTCATAGCCCCACTAAACTTCAGACTCGGGTGAATAAAAACTCAGTGGGAACTGTGTACAACTCGAGGACAGCATGTCTGCTCTTGCTCCAGTGAAAGTGAATGCAAATTCACTGCTGTAACAGATTGGGAAACCTAACTTTAGACACATATACTGCACTCAAATAGAAGGGAAACAATCACTTCTATTGAAATTACGCCATTGAAAATCCACTATAACTTATGTTGACACTTTTCTTGTGATGCTCTGTTTTCTTAATGGGGGACACTCAAGACCCATAAAGCACTTTAATTTGCTGAAATGCTTTATGTGTGAAGAGTGTGTCTTTAATTTATTTTTTACAAAAACTGCAGATTTCAGTAGAAACTGGCACTTCTAAATTACCCTTGTTATTCCCCCTGGCTTTCAAGCAGACATCCAGTTCTGTTACTTCTTGGTTGTTTTTCTCAGTGAAGCTAAACTCGGGAGAAAGCAATTGACAAATTACCTGCCTTGCAAAGACCTCTCATTGAGCTGTGCTGGGAAGACACAGAAAGTCTGGACAGGGTTAGAAGGGGAGAGCTTACAGAGGCTGCAAGAGAAGTGCAGTTTTTCAAGCTGATGTTAGATATACCTTCAGTGAAAAAATTTATAATTAAATGTGTGCGTGTTTTATTTGGGGTATACCTACTAAACTGATTTTCCTTTTCTACTAAACCTTTATTCCTAAAGCTTTAGTGTCATGGCCCCTTATTAGATAGGTTCCCTCAATGTGTAGCATAAAAATATTAGGCTTTTTACTTGCCTATCTCCTGTACGGAGGGTCCCTCGGCCCTACTTACCTCTTCACATCAACGAGGAGGCATGGCCTCTTCCAGCGTGGTCCAATCCAATACTTCTGTTGCACATGTTTGGCGAGTGCCATGAACGCATCCAAGATTGCACATAGGAAAGCACTGAATCAATGCTTTCCAACCAGGCGACAAGTTTTACTTGCCCTCGTCCAGGGCCGTCTTTAATAACGAATGGACCCTGGGCAAGTGTTTGCTTGGGCCCCCTGTGCCCTGCCGCTCTCACCCCTCACTCCCTGGTATGCAATCACGGCATCCATCCCAACGCAGTGGCGGTACTAAAGTAGAATGAATTTTATTGGGACCCCCAATTGCAAGGTTGGACTAAAGGTAGAACCCCATCTGTCGTGCAACTCCAACAATGCTTTGACAGCTGGGACTCTACCAATTTCCCATGCTTGCAGGGTTGTATTTAGCACTGAGCCATGTTAGTATGTTTGAATGTAAGCATGTGTTTGTATGGAGTATGTTTGTGTGAATGTGTTTGTATGTGGTACTGGAGTTTGAATGCAAGTGTGCATTTATGTGTAGTGTTTGTTTTTGAATGTAGGAGTGTGCTTGTATGTAGTGTTGACGTTTCAATGCAGGAGTGTGTTTTATATGTAGTGTTGAAGTTTGAATGGAGGGGTGTATTTGTATTTAAAGTTGCGGCTCAGATGCACAGGTACACACTCTGACGCACAAGCAGATACACAGATACATACACTGACTACATACAGATAAACAGGCACATACACTGACAGACACACTGACACAGGTACATATATTGACACACACACAGACACATACACTGGTAGACGTACTGACAGACATACTGACACAGGCACATATACAGACATACTGACACACAGACACATATACCGACATACTGACACACACACACAGACACATACACTGATCAACATACTGACACACCACATACTGACACAGAAATACTGACACACACACACACACACACACAGACATACTGGCACATAGACAGATATACTGACACATGCATACACATGCACTAACAGACATATGACGCACTGACAGACATACTGACACATACACATACTGACACACACAGATATACACACACATATATACTGACACAGACAGACAGACATACTGACACACACACAGACATACTGACACACACACAGACATGCTGACACACACACAGACATGCTGACACACACATACACTAACACACAGATACACTAACACACTCACACACACACACAACACACACACACACTAACACACACACACACTAACACACACACACACTAACACACACACACACAACACACACACACTAACACACACATACACTAACACACACATACACTAACACACACACTTACACACATACACTTACACACATACACAAACACACATACACTTACATACACAAACACACACATACTCAAACACACACTAACACACACTAACACACACACATACTCAAACACACACTAACACACACACACTCAAACACACACACACTCTAACACACATTAACACACACACACAAACACATTTTTTTAAAAAAAAAAATGTAATCCCCCCAGCCTCCTTACCTTTTGGAGTGCGGGGGGGGATTCCCTGGGGTCCAGTGGTGCTGCTGGGCTCCTGGGCGGGTGGCGGGTCGGGCAGGAAGGCGGGCGCACGAGGGAGCACTCACTGCTTCCTCTCCAGCTCCCTCGCGCGCCGCGTAGGGATGCCGGCGCCGGAAGATGACGTCATCTTCCGGCTCCGGCATCAGTGCGGTGCGCAAGGGAGCTGAAGAGGAAGCAGTGAGTGCTCCCTCACGCGCCCGCCTTCCTGCCCGACCGGGGTCAGCGGGGCCAGCCCGGGGCAGCTGCCCCGTTTGCCCCGCGTTAAAGACGGCCCTGCCCTCGTCAGTGTAACAGCCGCTGGAAGTGTGTTCAACCCTTCAAAGTAAATATTGCCATTTTGCGGAAACCGAAAAGTTTTACTCCAGAGGGTTAAATTGACTGGAACACTGCACCCTTTATTACTGAGATAAAGTGGCTTGAGTAACTTAAGTTGTCATTAAATTTTATTTTTCACAACTCACAAATATACAGATTGATTAACGGGGGAAATAAGCATACTATTAACAATCATAAAAAGTGATGGTTTCCCTTTAAGTTGTGATATTCGCAAGGTGCCAGTGATAAAGTAAAGGAACGTTTGACCCAGCTGCTTAGTAATGCGGCTGCTGTGTGAAATTACCAGAAACGTTCATCACAACATTCTGGGCCAGGTGATGCAAAGCTCCTGGTGATATTCCTTTCTTACGTTGTCTCTTTAGCTCACACTGCTTTTTGCTGTTTGTACTCTAGCAGATTTGATGTGTCATTTGTTTCTATGTGGGTAGTTGCACAGCACAAAGAAAATCTCCTCCTGTCTCTAGCCTTTGCCTGACCCACAGTCCTAAGCTCTGCTGAATTCTATTAGAGTGAAGGAAAGCAGGCTTGGTCTTTCCGTAGGACAGCTGCTTTATGGGGGGGGGCGACAACTTCCTGTTTGACCTGTTGTTAGTGATCGTCTCACTTGATTTATTCTACAGGAGAGCAGTGCACAGTATCTCTAGCCAATCATCATTGCAAACTTTATTCACTCGGGCGAAAGTCACCACTTAAACAAAACCCCCCCAAAAAACTGAAGAAAGCTTCATTACAACAAGTATACGTGTGCATCAGTAAATTTTCTGGATGAATAAAGTTCTTTCAAATCACGGAAGTATCAAGTCTTTCACATATAGGGGTACCTCATAGACAGGATCATAAATGAGGTCTTATCACATTTTTGCCCCCACTTTACATTAACAACTAACTGCACCCACCTTGGTTCCATAGGTAAAAGATGATCGAGCTTTTCTGTTTTTCTGCTTCCAATCACAGATCACTTTTCTTCTAGCAACTCCTTGTTCAAGGGTTAGTCTAGATTTAAATAGTATTCCCCTTTTATAGCCATTTCTCCTTAGCAGAATTGATTTGCATCCATTCCTTCTCTGTGAGTTGCTTTTTGCCCGATTTGAAGCATTGCTGCACATTTCCTTACATTAAACGTGATCAATCTTAGTTAGACCTCTGTGGAGACATGTTCCAGAATGAAAACTGCATTTTGGTACAGTTACAAAATCCCATGCTCTGTTTGGGAATAACCACTACTGCAGGCTGCAGTGGTTATTGTGCCCAGGTGCCATTCAACAGGAACTTGTCATGTTTACACAGTTTCACACTTACCTGCATCCTGCTGTGCACCAGGTTTCCTGTCCTGCAATGAAGAAGTTGGATATCAATTATGTGCAAGACATTAACTCGTTAACTAAAGGCACCCAGACCATTTCAATCCTTTAGTTTTAAGCCTGCAGTGTAATGACATTGCAGTCTCTGGTGGCTCTTCCTGACAGTCACTAGAGGATCTTCCACTGTCACCCATTTCATTAGAAGAGTGCAGCAGTGGGCGCGCATGTGCTTTTTGTCCCCAATGTTCCTTGGTTGCAGGCACTGTATCTTGGTGCTGGAAAGAAATTGACGAAGAACCTTTTTTTTCGCATATTGGGGATAGGGGCTAAAACTAGGTGGAGGAGGACAAAAGTAAAAATATATTTTTGGGGACTAAAGGATGTCCACCCACTTTGCTTTAAAAAAAAAAAAAAAGTCAAATTACTTCCTTTCAAGAGCCATTACTCCCACCCTGCCTTTGAAGACATCCGCTGACGTGTTTGCAATTTCCTCCAACCCAATGTTTCTTATAGAGAAGTAAATGATTGATATACTTACACACGGAAAAATGCTGTTTTACACCATGAGCTATGAGCAACATTTGATTCCACGAGTTTTATTCACTTCTGGAGGAGGAAGTGCCTCTATTGGCTTTAAGGAAGACAACCACTAGAAGTGTGTTTAACC